CTTGCTCTGGAGAGGAAATGTGCACAGCAACTTGCCCCAGCCAACCTGGACAAGACTCCAAGTTCTACAAGCTAGGTGGGTATACAACAACCCAGCTGGTACTGTGGTACAAATTCTACTCACAAAGCAAGACCATCCATCCCCATGTGGCTGCGAGGGGGGTTTTCTCTGAAGTGCATATTCCATAACGGCAAGGATCCCAGGAAGAGGTTACTCCTGGGTCAGGACCAGACAGCCCGTGATAGTGAAACTTTTCCTTTTTAGAACCAGTGGGGTTTGGGGTGCTGGAGATATTTTCACATGGAAAGAAAAGCTGGTCCCAGCCTTCTGGAGGTAGTTTGGCAGCTAGGCAGAAAGGCAGCCCTCTTAAGGGACTCTGGGAGCCCCTGGAGGGAGCATGTTCACTAGTGGCATTTCATCTGCTTGTGGTTACCTCTAGTAAAGTTTTGTCCCAAGTAGTAGGCTGGTCTCAGCTGGGCTATGGAGAATTAAGCTCTTGCTCCTGTTTTAGGATGGAGGAGCAAAATGAAGGGAAGCTCTTTAGGTCAGAAGGGTGGCAGTAGTCACAGCAGCCACTGGGTTGGGGGCGGGTAGGAGTTGTGTTAAGTGGAGTGCTTCTGGCTGAGGAAGTGGTGGCAGAGAGTCTGGAGTCTGTCTGGGAACAGGTGGGATTTCTTCTTGAGCCTAGCTAAGAGCATCCGCGAAGGATGCCCAGGGGACCTCTGGAAGTGGCATTGGAGGTGCCGTTCTGTTCCTGTGCTGATGGTAGGAGACTCCAGTCATCATAATTTGGGTATTAAAGAAAATGAGACCTGAATTTAAGCTCACTGGCTGGTGAGACCTGGACCAGGATTCTACCATGGCCACAATTCTCAGGCATGTTCATAAACTATTTTACCTGCTGTTCCCTGGTGGTTTGATGTAAATATGGCTTACAAACCTAAAGCGACCAAAGATATGTCTCAGCATAGCAAGAATGTATTCTTCAGGATATAAATTATGGGTAGGATTCTGTCTATTAGTGTCTATGTTGTCTATCTCTGAAAACGTCTAGAGATTGTGTCTACTGTGCCATTTTTCTCTTTTTTTCTGGCTTGAAGCAAATATGAAAGATTATGTCATTTCATAATTCTGTATGCATTTTTAAAAACAAGGACATTTTCTTTTTTGGGTGTCTTTTCTTTCTGTGAGTTGGAGTCTCACTCTGTCACCCAGGTTGGAGTGCAGTGGCACGCTTACGGTCACCACAGCCTCAATCTGCTGGGCTCAAGTGATTCTTCCGCCTCAGTCTTCCAAGTAGCTGGAAGCAAAGGTACATTCCACCATGCCCAGCTAAGTTTTTGATTTATTGTAGAGATGAGGTCTCGCCAAGTTGCCCAGGTTGGTCTCGAACCCCTGGATTTGGGTAATTCTTTCATCTCCACCTCCCAAAGTGCTGGGATTACAGGTATGAGCCACCATGCCTGGCAACAAAGACATTTTCTTACACAACGATATGCCATTATCACTGCTAACAAAATTATCTATTTCTTGATACCATCTAATAGCCATCTATACTCAAATTCCCCTGGTAACACCTTCTATCTCATCAGCACATAAATAGGAATTCTTCCTGTTAAAAAATATAGCTATAAATTAAGTATTTTTATGTCACCTAAGGTTTTGGTGGCAGATTTTTTTTTTTTAAGAGATGAGGTCTCCCTATGTTGCCCAGGCCAGTTCTGAACTCCTGACCTCAAGTGATCCTTTCACCTTGGCCTCTCAAAATGTTGAGATTATAGGCATGAGCCATCACCCTCTGCCCCAGAATTTGTATTCTACCTGTTAATTTGGCAATAGAATCTCCCTTATGCAGGAGCACAGATTATTAATCTCAGGTCTCAATCTTTGCTGTATTTCTGCCTCTAATTTAAGTATCCTGAGGGGACTCATTCAACGCTCCCTGGCTTCCCACACACATCGTCCTTTTGTCCTAATAAGTGTATAAATTAAACCCGGTTGTTGGTCTGACAGGTTTATGAAGCAGCAATGTGAAAACTGCTTTTCCTTTGTATTTTACATGGCCATCTTTAGGGTGGGGAGGCTGAACACTGCTACAGGGTTTAGAGGAAGGAGTTTTGTACCAGCATAGAGGTGGCACTGAGCTGTCAGGACCAGGGAACAGAGATGGGAAGGGGGAGTGAGGAAATTTCCAGAGGCAAAGTTATAGGAGAATAGGGCAGAAGCCATCCCAGCTCTTTCACAAAAATACAAAGCAAACAAAAATAACATGTTTCACCTTGAAAACAGAAGGCACAATGGGTCATGTTTTCTTACCTTCTAGATCAAACCATTGTTAAGTTTTTAGTTTTGATCCCAATTTTTAAAAATGTACATACATTTGAATAAAATTTGAATTATATATAATATCCGTTGTATGATTTGTTTTATCTTCCCACTTTATACTGTATGAGGAATATTTCTGCATGCCATTAAATGTTTCCAGAACAAAGCTTTTAATAGTTGCACAGTATCTTAACTTATGTGTACACAACACATTTAGACTGCTTATAATTTGTCACTGTTATTTTTAAAATGCTACCATGAATAGCCTTATACCTAAATCTTGAACACATCTCTAGTTATATATCTTTATGATAAATTTTGAGAAACAGAATTACCAGGTGGAAGGATCAGAACATGTTCCAAACTGCCCTCCAGAAAGTCTGTTCCAATTTATATGGTAACCGAAAATGTATGAATAAACTCATTTTCTCACAACAGTACCAACACTATTGTTGTTAATTCTCCCTTTAATCTAACCATTTAAAACATGAATATGGCATCATTGTTCCCACCCTTTGTTCATGATCCTTAAATATTTGACTATTTCATTACTCCATATCAAAAAGAACGTGTAGTAGTTTTGCTCTCTCTGTCTGTAGCCCTTGACTAGCTTCTGGGGGTTTAGTGAAGAAAAGGTGTAGAAATGGCTGGACCTGTGCTACTGCTTCAAAGGCAGTCGGACTATGTCAATGGAATGCTGGAGATTGTAAATTTCACCAGTTATTGACTGCCAAGAGTGGCACATATTTTCAAACATCTAATATTCTAGAACTAGCACATATTCATACATATATTTTCAATCTTTTGTTCTGAAACCTTTTACTATATGAATTTTGGATTTGCTGCCTGATCTGGATCAACCTTCTATACTTTCCCTTATGGACATGAATTAAATAGTACCACTTGTCAGGTGGTTTATGCACCTTGTGCAGTTGCATGCAAAATACTGTATATATGTACAACTGTGAATACTTTTCTTGAGAGGAAGTCCAAGCTTTCATTGTGTTCCCATGGGAGCCCAAGAAAAGATTAAGAAGCTTTGATATGATGAAAATTCTAAGGGGTTATAACTGCAATCCCCAAAGGAGTCAGGCAGGCAATATAAAAGTGAAGTAGATAAGATATTAAGCAATAGGGAGTGGTGGGGACTGTGGCATTCTTAAATGCATTTCCTCTAATTAAATGGAGTAGCTGTCTCTCCATTCCAGACCACTGTTCGTATGTGGAAACATGGGTCCAGTGCTCCCAGATCTTTTTTTTTTTCCCAGAGAAATCCAGAAATTTGGATATTTATATGAAATCTTCCAAACTTTAAATGCTTGTGACAATTTAAAGTTAAACAAATATACACATTATATGCAACAAACAACTGGTCTGCTGCTTTGTCCCTCAGGCTGCTAGGCTTAAAAGAAACCAGGCATTTCCAAGCATAATTAAATACATACAAAAAAACAACTGAATGTTCTCTTTAGGTTTCTCATAAGCCAAGAACACCAAGACCCTCTTAGAACAAAGCTCCCAAAGAGACTCCAGTCTGATTGAAGTTGGGCACTTGAGAAGTACAACGGCCAAGTGTAACAGCTCTTAAAGCAATGCAGTTGCTAAATGCAACAGATCCTGACACCTACCTTCCCTTCCCCAGTCAATGCCCAGCACTCTACAAAGATCAGTCCCAAGCCTTTTCAGTGGCTGTGGAGAAAAATGTTCTAGAAGAGACATGCCAAGACTCCTAATTGCATGTTTACATAAAAGCTTGATATGCAAGCTGACAACACTCATGATTGTTGTGACACATTTTACCAATATCTAGAATGAAGGTAAGTACAAGAAACTATGGAATGCACTTACCCTATCCAGACAAATGACATTTTTGTAAACCAAATTAATCGCTATCTATGTAAGGGAGCTTGCTTTTTAAAGAAACCCTGCAATATAAAGATTTATAAGAGATAAGTCATTTCCGGATTCAACTGTGTCACAAGAACAGATTGAAAAAACTGGGTTTTAAAAATATAATACATACTCATATTTAAACTTTTTTTTAAAGACTTGGGCAAACTTTGCTGAAATTTAAACCTTCACCTAGAACATGGCTGCTGGTCCCCATGGCAAATTTCCAGGGTAGGTATGGAGCAAGTTCTGAGTTCTGAGGAGCCTGGAGCAGAGGCACCCCCTTAAGGCAGGTGCTGAGAAGTCAGGAAGCAGGACAAGCACGGTTGGGCAACTAACAAATGAGCTATGGAAAACATAATCGAAATTGACAACCACGTTTTTCCTGAGGACACAAGTTGACATTCCACTGACCACGTATGCCTTGTTTTCTTTGTGTCCTAAATAGTATTTTATTTATATAATATGTTTGAAAATGGCATCTTCCTTCCAAGACGTCCCATGCTGGTCAAATGACGATTTGAGCTGTGGTGGGCAGTGCTGTAGGTGCAGCAAGCAATAAAGCAGTGCCACCTTGTGAAGAGTAAATATTTCCACCCAAGCAAATACATACTTTCCAAGTGAGGAGTGTGTGTGAGTGTCTGTGAGTGTGTGTGTGTGTGTGTGTGTGTGTGTGTGTGTGTGTGAATGATGCAGCCAATGCATTTCAATTTTTCCCATAATTAAAACGACTTAGGTACAGACTCCTTAAATAAACCTGGAGAATATCAGTTTTCTCAAGGTACCTGTAATCATGCTGGATATAATTAACGGCAAAATGATGAGTTTCAGCATCCTCATTAGAATTTCTCCAGGAAAAGCAAAGTAGAATTTCTCCAGATTTGAGAGCTTGCTGTGTTCTCGAACCAAGACTCCTATGGTAATGCCTAAGAAAAACAAGAGTTGGAAAAAAGAGAAACATTACTGAGTTCTCCTGTATACATTTCTATGGAAAAACATCCCAAAATGTGCATTTTAATGGTAAGAAAGATAGTTTAGGTAATCTCCCCCAAGTATGTAAAATTTAGACTTTAAAAAATCATATTTTATTTTTATATATACATAAATATATAAACATATATATATTTTATATATATATAAAATATATATATGCATACATATGAATATATTTTTTGAGTCAGAGTCTCACTCTGTTGCCTAGGCTGGAGTGCAGTGGCATGCTCAAGGCCACCACAGCCTCAACCTACTGGATTCAGGCTACCATAGCCTCAACCTATTTGCCTCAGCCTTCCAAGTAGCTGGAACTACAGGCATGTGCCACCATGCCTGGTTAATATTTTGATGTATTGTAGAGACAAGGTCTTGCCAAGTTGTCCAGGCTGGTCTCAAACCCCTGGACTCAGTCAGTCCTCTTGCCTCAGCCTCCCAAAGTGCTGGGATTACATGCACGAGCCACAGTGACTGGCCTATTATATTATTTTTACTATTATTTTTTGAGTTGAGGTTTTACTCTGTCACCCAGGATGGAGTGCAGTAGCACAATCATGGCTCACTGCAGCCTTGAGTTCCTGGACTCAGGTATTCCTCCCTCCCGCCTTCGTCTCCTATTTAGCTGTGACTACAGGCATGCACCCAGTTAATTTTTTGATTTTTTTGTAGAGATTAGGTGTCCCTATTTTGCCGAATCTAGTCTCGAGCTCCTAGGCTCAAGCAGTCCTTCTGGCCTGGCCTCCCAAACTGTTGGGGTTCTAGGCGTGAGCTACTGCACCAGGTCTTAAAAAGTCCTATTTTAAAAAGCAGTGTGGCCATCATTAGTAAAACAAACAACAACAGATGCTGGTGAGGATGCAGAAAAGGGAACGCTTCTACACTGCTGGTGGGAATGCAAACTAGTTCAATCTCTATGGTAAACAGCATGGTGATTTCTAAAAGAACTAGAAATTGACCTTCCATATAACTCAGCAATCCCCCTACTGGGAATATACCCAGAGGAACTCAAATCATTCTACAAAAAAGATGCCTGCACACACATGTTTACTGTAGCACTATTCACAATGGCAAAAACATGGAACCAACTGTACTGGACTGGATTAAAAAAAATGTGGTACATATACACAATGGAGTATTACACAGCCATAAAGAAGGACAAACACATGGACTTCACAGCAACTTGGATGGATTTAGAGTCTGTAATACTCAGTGATCCTTCACAGAAACAAAGAACAGAGTACCACAAGGTTCTCACTCATAAGCAGACCCTGAACATTTATCATAATAAGAAAGGGACTGGCAGCTGAGCACAGTGGCTCAAGTCTGTAATCCTAGCACTTTAGGAGGCCTGGGCAAGAGGACTGTCTGAGCCTGAGGGTTCAAGACCAGCCTGGGCAACATGGTGAGACCTCGTCTCTAGAATTAAAAAAAAAAAAAAAAAAAAATTAGCTGGGCCTGGTAGTGCACTCCTGTAGTTCTGATTACTTGGAAGGTTGAGGCAGAAGGATCACCAGAGCCCAGCAGGTCGACCTGGGGTCGCCATGAGTGTGCCACTGCACTCCAGCCTGGGTGATGGAGTGGGACTCCAACTCAAAAAAAGAAAGGAACTGGCAGTAGGGATACTGCTGTGGTGGGCATGGGGGTGGGAGGATCAACATCAATAAGGGTACCTGATCTCAAACCAGGCAAACTGGGGGCCAAGGAGAGGTTCACACTTTACCTATACAGTGTCCACTTATATACCTAATCCCAAATTGTACCCCATGTCCTAAAAATAAAAAAAACTTGATGATAGCAAAAAAGTAATGAGCAGAATGTACACACGATTCAGTAAAACTACAGAAGATTTTCTTCACATGAAAGCTTTGTTGTCATCATTTCCTCATCAGTTCTATTGATTATAACAAAATATCAAATACTATGAGAAAGAAATTCATCATCCTAATCAATGTAATTATTTTGTTTTCACATGCCACCTTTATTGTTCATCTACCTGGAAAGATGTTTTACATATTTACTAGTTTACATATCAGTTTGTATTTTTCTTATATATTTTTCTCATAAGTACTCCTTTTATGATAGTATTTAATGAAAAATATTCTTTCCAGTTTATGTAACTTTTATAATTTTTTTTTACTTTTATAATTTTAATAACAACATAATATCTTATTAACTTGGTGTATTTACTATATTATTGAGAAACCACATGGGGGGACCCAAAAAACCCTGGAATTTATTTATAAAAAATTGTGTATTCTTACATGTTTATACTTCAGTCACCCACAAAGTACTTGACGTTTGATGCAATACACCTACTGAGATGCTTTTTCCACTGCTCAAAACAGTTTTGAACCCATCCATTTTGATGCCTTTTATCCTTCTGCCGTTTTTTGTTTCATCTTTTCCACATTGGTAAAACGTTTCCTTTTGAGGACATTTTTCGTTCAAGGAAACCAAAAAAAGTCATTCAGGGCAAGACTGGTTGAATAGGGAGGGTGGGATAGAGGGGTCATGACATTTTTGGTCCGGCTACTTGAAAGGCTGAGGCGGAAGGATCGCCGGAGCCCAGCAGGTCGAGGCTGTGGTGGCCGGGAGCGGCCACTGCACTCCAGTCTGGGCGACAGAGTGAGACTCCAACTCAAAACAACAACAACAACAACAAAAAACTGCTGAACACTCAGCCCATGGTGAAATGGGCAAACATGTTGAAACAATCTCTAAAAAAATACTCACTGAAGCGAAACACAGCCTCTCACAACAATGCTGCCAGTACACTGATGCTGACAGGTTCCTAGAACACTAGACTGGAGGTGGGGGGAAGCCTGCACTACAAGGGGCCTACCTTCCAGAAAATAATTCAGCTTTTTGGGGTCTCCCCATATGTTCTCTAATGGTATGCATTTTTTTTCAGTTATTTCTAGATAATAATGAACTCAGGTTTATCTGATCAAGGTTTTTTTTTAATGAAGTTTCTAATCCTGAGTACTTTGTACATGAAATCCTTCAGCACAATAACACAATTTAATGATGACTTTGACAGCAAAAAACCACAAATTGTTAGTATTTCTTCATCTTCTTCCAAATAGTTCTTATAACATCTAACTTCTTCACGCTCTCCTCCCCCCAATACACACACCCTGTTTTTTAAACCAAGAAATAAATGGGATGACGTTCACATCTTTTCTTCCCTCATCAACCTCTGATGGGTATCATGATAATAGGAAGTAAAATCATGAAATGTCAGGAAGATTTAAGGAGGCTATCACTGGATATGTGAATTTGTGAACTCAATTAGTTGTTTAGGCAGTTTAAAACTCTAGGGCAATGAAAAGAGATGTAAATTATAATCAATATTAGAGGCCGGCTCGGTGGCTTAGTCTGTAATCCCAGCACTTTGGGAGTCCGAGGCGAGTGGATTGCCTGAGCCTGTGGGTTCAAGACCTGGGCAACTTGGTGAGACCTCGTCTCTACAATAAATCAAAAACTAGCCAGGCGTGGTAGCGCATGCCTGTAGTTCCAGCTACTTGGAAGGCTGAGGTGGGAGGATCGCTGGAGCCCAGCAGGTTGAGGCTGCGGTGGCTGGGAGTGTGCCACCGCATTCCAGTCTGGGCAACAGAGTGAGACTCCAACTCAAAAAAAAAAAAAAAAAAAAAAGTCAATATTAGAATTCTCATTTAAATCTAGGTATCCTTCCATGGCCACCAGTAAGCCAAAAACATGAACCTCACGAGATGCATTTTGTGTCATAACCCTATTCTTAGCTTAATTTTATTTTCTTTCATATTCTACCTTTGCTTTGATCTCTTTATTCTGTGCATTTCTGGTCACTCAGCAGTGTACGCAGACTGTGAATATACAATTTTATTTTATTTTTCATTCTTATTTTATTATTTATTTTGAGGAACAGATGATCTTATTTTATTTGAAACATACTAGGTGAATGATTTGTGGAGGAACTGGAGCTTTGAGAATATTTTGAGGTTCACAGCACAACTTTCTTAGAAGGTGAATGCACAATTTAAAATCATTTTTGGAATAAACATATATACATAAGCTAGGACAAAAACAAACAAAACAATTGTATTATCAATTCTATTTGGTTCATATTTTAAAACCTCGTTATTAGAGACTCCTGAATGGTTAAGAACACCACAGACTCAAAATATCTTAAGTAAATTTTAAGAATACGATGTGCTTACTTCGTGCTTTATAGATCGCCTACTATGTCCAGCTGTCCTATATGAACATACCTATATTGTGGAGTGAGGATACTTGTAATTTTCAGGGCTTTAAAAAAAACAAACATTCTCTCTCATACTATTTAGGTTGCTTCAAGTAAATTTTTGGTTGGTATGTCAAAGAAAGTTCAGTGTGCAAAAATAAAGATGTGTCTGTGCTCCAAAACCAGCCACAAAAGCACTCTGTTGAGTAGCAAAAGAATCCCGTGTGCCTCAGTCTTAGGGTTCATATTACTAATGATGAACAGTGCCTCCAATCATCTCCACCCCAAATGAAAGCAGGGTGGTCAGAAAGAAATGTCCTTGCTATTTTTCAGCCTGTAGCCATTTAAGAGTTTAATGGGAGAAATAAGAGTTGCCAAGCCGAGTAGTTTGAAAGCACTCAAAGGTGGCATGCATGATGAATAGGCTACTGTATTTGTCAATTACAACTTTCTATCAAGCTTGTGTTTGACACTGAATACCACAAATTGTACGTGTGTGTGTGTGTATTTTTTTTTAACCAAAAAGAAGAATGGAAATACCAGTCTATGGCTGGAAAAGCAGTTGAGAGATTCAGAGATGCCACTCCGGGACCCTCCAGTACAAGTGGCTGGTGAATGACCTCACCCAGGAATTGCACCTTGTAAATGAGCATACTTTATTTTTAGAGTCTATTATATTCAGCATTCTATCACAGAAGCAAAAAGCTGAATACC